TAGGGTTCAAGTTTATCGTGTGGTTCGCCCAGGTTCGACTCCATGCTAGGTATATAATATATTACATACTCGTTTCTTGAGCGCATGCATGCGGCTGCCGCGCCGGGTTAGGCGGACATCGGTCGGGTTACGTTTGGGTCAGTAGCCTTTACTTTACTTTACGCATGATCATTGAAGTCGCTGTGCCTGAGAGCTGTCCCTTCTCTCGTTGATACTGAAGTTACTGGGTTACTCATAGAAAATTACTAGTGACTAGATTACATTGCCTGCTGAACTAAACGAGTGTTGTCGCCACGGGCCGTGGCCCACGGCGATGTCGTGTCTTCCAATAGTGGAATAAGCTAGATATACAAATGGTTTCTAACTCCCGCCGGCTACAGGGGTTTCCCCAGCAACCCCGTGTCATTGAACCACATAACTCAACACTTTAGACTCTTTTAGGACAACATCGTTACGCAAATATCAACAGTTGAGTTCCCACCTAGAGCACTTGGGTACGGTCAGCCGCCGCAGCATCAAGGCTCAGATTCAGCTGAAGTGCTGGCTTAGCTCTACGGGGCTTCCCTCTCCGTCGTGGCCGTCTGTTGATGGGTAACTGTTTACGATCGAAGCTGTCAAGTAAATGGAGTCTTATACCGACTCCAATTACGTGGTAGCACACTTTCGACTTCAAAAATGAGGTACAAGAACAACGGCACTGGCGCCAAGATGTGGCTTGACGAGGTACGTGGACGACATAAACTTTCAGCATCAAAGACGTGAGCTCATTAAAATTGGCATCCTGGCTATTCCCCTTTAACATTTCGATGTAACGGAGGATATTGGCTGGAGTGAGGAAACCTGAGTCGACTTTCCTCGATGAGGTAAATATGCAACGCGTGTTAGCTGAAGCATGCGAAAATTCGGTAATTTTCGCCGTAGCTTCCCATTTTGCGGCAGTTGCATATTCTGTTTTCGACGCCTCTACTTCCGTTATATCTTCGTAATGCCTCGTATTCGCGGTGTTCGAGCGATCAATTTCCCTACTGAACATTGGCAGAATATCGTTCACAACTTTGTGAGTGAAATCGCCAATGCTCAATTTGTTCCGCAGGACTTTGCCTTTGATTCTTCCATTTGCAGATTCAATGCCATTGTTGGTGGAAGGAAGCCTCTCAGCGAATCCCTCCCACCATGTTGAGCATGGAGGAACCTTAATCCATTGTTGGTCTATGTAAGCAACTGCCTGTGGGCAGAGGGGTTGGTATTTCTCTTTAAAAAGCCCAAACAGACACTGAAAACACTCTTTAGTTGTCGACAGCTGCAGCACAGCAAGACTGCGCAGCAACGAATTTTGTATATCGGCGGGAACTTTCAGCGTCTTAAGAGTGCCTTCAATGTTCTTCTTTACATGATACCAACACATGGATCTGTGTGCCTGCGGAAAAACGGTCGAAACAGCGTTCGTTATCGCAGGTGCCGCATCTGCCATTACGTAGTTTGGGGAATGCCAAGGAAGACCAATTTTTTGAGCACCGATATCAAGAGATTGGAGAATTTCTATGAAATCCATAGTACGTTCGTTACCACAGAGGGCCAGTGCAACAGGGAAAACATGATTCCTATAGTCACAGATGCCTAAAACTAACACAGGAAATCCGTGGTAGTTCAACTTGTATGTTGCGTCTATCGCGTACATAGGCGCTTCACGCGACATCGTGACCAGGCGACGAGTAGAGAAGACGACTCTGAAGCCACTCTCGAAACTCGAGTGTATCTGACAGAAGGCGGTATGTTATACATGGCAACATTCTCATCGTCAGCGACACGTGCAGTTGACTAAGTGCGTATTTTCTAATGCTACTGCTGGATTTCACCGTAACGTACAATATTACCACGAAAGCTTCATCCCATTCATCAACAGCGGGAACCCCGGCATTGTTAGCTGCCATTTGCTCAATGTCGGCTATGCTGGGTTGGTTGGTGCCGCCATTGAGCTTGTCCGTGTACGTTTGAACAAAACGTCTTATCTACAAGAAAAGAGGGAGAGTCCGTCTGCCATGATGGCAATGATTGGTAAGTTATTTTCTAATGCCGATAGAGCCGTACCTGGGTCGTCTTAGGAATCAAGTCCATCGGCATGCCAACTGCATGACATACATCTTCGAGTGCCTTGCGAATGACAGGTACTGAGGCGATACTTTTCGATAGCTGATGATTTATCAGATATCGGAAAGGTTCCCTAATACCGCGCTGCACGTCTTGATGGAAATGCTGTTGGTGATTGTAGTACAACGTCACCTTGAAGGAAGCCGGGTCGTAGCTGAGCATCAACTGAACTGGCGTCCAGTCCTCAGTGGGCGCCTCATTTTCTGCAGCTGACCCACTTGTTCTTCTCCGACTGTTAGACGGGTGGCCGCACTCACGACAGTAGAACCACTCTTTGAGGCCCTTCTTGGTGATGTGGGATCTGGATTTTGAACATTTTGAATATCCCGCATGACTGTTTGTACTGCGGTATCACCTCAATTTAGCAAAGCCGCCATTAGTTGCCAACCAGAAGGCTGCCTCAACCTCATCATCAAAGGTCTCAACGGGATCGCCCCAGTTAATAGCGGCACCGCGGACCTTCTTCGGTCGTTCGCTATCGGATGATGTTGACTCTTCCGTCACTGATTCGTGCAGCCTGTCGTCAGTCAATGGATCGCGTGGGATCTCTCTACAGACAGGCACTTGCACATCATCCTGAAAATATTTCATTCGATGAACATTACACACGGTGGTACGATAACCATAGATCACATTGAGAATCAAGTCTTGCGTTGCATGGTACAATTATCGGTCGGTTAATTCGATGCTCACCGCAGTTTGTTCCTGTATCTCTGCATCTGTTGTCCTTTGCGACCCTTCGCTGCCTAGCAACACATTTGGAGTTGCACCTGGTAAGTTAAAGAAGATCATGGGTTCTTCTGAACGATCATCAGGCGCTTGATCGGCCTGAAGAGATATAACAATAGCGAGGTAAGCTAGATCCACGCGCTAGTCATTAAAGTGGTCATTCATAGTAATTATTACTACGTAATATCTATGGATCAATGTTGGAAAATATGTACGTAGTGGTTCACTATTAGTGAACTAAGCCTGTTGGTGAGAATTAAATCATTTAAAGAAGTTCGCCGAAACTCCCATTGTTTTCTGTGTCGCCTGATCCAAAATCCTGTGGTAATCTCGTGAGGAACCCCGCGGACTGAGCTGAGGAAGCCAAGCTGATATTCCAACTCTGCTATGAATACTTGAAGTGTCATACTTATCATAACTTATCCCAGGTGCAATTCGTCAGGAACTCTCAAAAGTGACAAAATACTTACGTCATTTCCTAGTGCATCTGCCGGCGGTAGGTCCAGGAATATAACATCTTCGCGTGGTGTCTCGAAGTCTCCGCTATCGGAGATAGGAAAAACGGGCTCCATTCCAATGTTCACCTATATATGCAAGAATAGAAAAATGAGCTGGTCGTTTTCCTGCAGTGCCTTCGCGTATACCCCTCATAAGGCGAATGGTCTTAAGGGATATTAAAAGGGGTAGCCGAACTAAACGCTACGCTGCGTAACGTTTAGTGCGTAACTGGCGCATTCTAAGTGATAAGCGTTTTGTATCCCACATGGATTTCATTGGAGTCGAGATTGCGGAGCTAAAATATGGAATATTGGGAAACTTACTGTATCTCTGGCATTGCTACTTGATGACGGTTGTTCGGGTAGCTGGCTTTCTTCAGAGCTACACGTGCCTTCGGACAAGTTACGAGTTGTTGCTTGCACTGATCTGGCAACGAAAGGGAATGACGTGACAATTTTCACTCATTAGGTGTTCCCTAGCTTACCCTGCTGAGTCCATGCGAGGAACGGTCCTTGGAGATCCAGTCTCTGACTCGAATGTCAGCCTTTGGGCCTCCAATATTGTTGGAAAGGACGCACTGTGCTGTACAAGCCTAGTCGGAGGGACATCCGCCATGTTGCTATTGTATCGCTCGCGACCCTCTTCTGCGACAGCCGAAAAGTGACGGAGAAGTTGGGGCGATAACGGCGAGTAATCCGAGCTTGAAGCCGGACTCGAGCTACGAGCCGGCATGGATTCTTGTGCCTCATATACATTATGCTGAGCAGTACTCTCCACCTGCGCTGATGTAGCTGGAGCAGTACAAAAGTTTGAGGTTGATCCGCGAGCAGCTCCGCTTCGACGATTGGTACTCACAGTCCTAGGTGCGGCCTTCGCCCTAGCCTTGCCCTTCGCTTGAGCCTTAGCTTTCGGTTTGGCCTTGGCCTTCGCTTTGGCCTTGGCCTTGGCCTTCGCTTTGGCCTTGGCCTTGGCCTTACTCTTTGGTACAGGATACAACACCTTTGCCTGACCTTGAGTGTTAGAACGAGTTTCCATGTTTGTGTAGGTGACAAGAGGAATATTCTGAAAAGAATTATTTAAGGATGTTGTGGACAGAAAGCCAAACAGCTATTCCAACTCCCAGGGTTGCAATATCGTAGTGTAGTTGAGCGCCGACGTTGCTAATCTCCTTTTCTCTAGCTTTTCAATTATAGGGAGTCCCTAGTACGGATAATTATTAACACAATTAACTGTCTTCACAGGTACGGCTCTGGTGTTGTCCTCGAAAACCTCCGTGGCTGTCGATT